AAAATAGTAACATTGAAATGTATTGAGCTTAAATTCAAGTGTTTTTGGATGTTCACGAGGCAAATTATATCTTAGGCTCTAAGTTAATTCTAGAAGTGTCATAATAGAACTCCCAGGAGACAGAAAGATTGATAGGATGTCCAATGGTGGTACTCAAAGTGAGACTTATTAAATGAAAGTCTAATTTTGTGCAGATAACTTGATAACTTGAATATTGATGGATCATTGAACTATATGGAATCGACTTACTCAGCCCAGATCATTTTGTTTCATATGCAGCTTTCATTATTGGAAAAATTTTATCATGCTGAAAATTCTTGTTAATATGAGTTATGTGGATTGTTTCAAGGCACTTCTTTCATGTCCAACCAACTCAATTCATACAGAACGTCCCCCTCGTGATATATCAGAAGTTCACAACACGTTTCCAATTGCAATTGATGAGCAGAAAGTTCAGGTACATTTACGTACTCACAGTAATAGTTCTATGTTTTTCTCGTAAGTTTTATATTCAGAGAATTTATATATTTTAAGCCTGTGAGTTGGCAGAGTGTTACAGTACAACATTGTCATAGTTGAAAAGCTAAATTTCCATTTTTTTATTCTTATCTTTAGTTGTGTAATTGTCTATCTTTCTGAAGTGTGCAAGTGAAAGATTCTTGTGAGCCACATTACTGTTAGCGTCCTTTTGGGCTTTCTACTCACAAATTACTAACTTGGTTTCAGGGAGTATACCACTGTGGTTACCATTCTGAAAAATCATATGGAGCAACATCTTATTTTATTACACGACCTGAAGGGAATGTACTAATAGACAGGTGTTTTGATTGCTTGGTTGTGGTATTTTTGGATCTGAATATATAATTACTTCAAAAGTAATTTTGTAAAAGGTGGAGAAGGAATGTTTCAAATATATTATGTCATATGACTAATCATATTAATTTCTATGTTGTAGTCCTAGATACACAAAGAGATTAGTCAACAATATAAAGAAAATGGGTGGAGCTTCCTTCATGTTTCTCACCCACAGGTATGCTAAATGAGTGAATATTCATCCAAATTGATACATTTTTCATTTGAAAATTATTAATACTGCTGATTTTCAGGGATGATGTTGCAGATCATGATAAGTGGTCAAAAGAGCTGGGTTGTGCTAGGATTCTTCATGTAAATGAGGTAAGATTTTAGGATTTCTCTTCATCTAAATGAGGTAAGATCATGATAAGTGGTAAGATTTTTTATTTTTTATTTTTGGGTTTTGGGACTGAGGGTTGTGATTTTTATTTTATTTTTTTGGACTGTGGTTTGTGATTTGAGGATTCTACTTTTTAATGCTGTGATGTTCTTTCCCTTTTGAATTTGGTAGAAAATTATTGAAAATTACGGTAGAAAAGATATGGCTTGGAAGCATGCAGTGAGAGACAAGACAGATATACATGACATTAGTCTTTGCCTTTTGCTTCAGTTTATCTTAATATTCTGTAACAATTGGAATATTGTCATGTGTGGTTAGTCTTTTCCTTTTGTTGCTCATGAATCATTATATATGCCTGTAAGATTTTTATTGGAGTGACTGTGAGATTATGTTTGACGCCTCTGGTTGCCTCACATCTTAAAAATCTCCACATGGGATTTGTTCAGTGGATTCAGAATTCCATCACTTCACTGTATCTGTTATCACCAGGTGTCTCACTCTACAGTTGATGTGGAGATCAAGCTAGAGGGAAGTGGGCCATGGCCCATTGGCAGTGATATCACACTTATACACACCCCAGGCCATACAGAAGTGAGCATATTGTTAAACTTCGGTTTATATTAATAATAATGATCTGCCGGATTATCATGGTAGCTAGATGCTAACTATATTGTCTCTGTCGTTGACTTATGTTGTGCTCTGTCCATAACTTTGGCTTATGCTAAAATATTGTTGGCATGGATCTGATTACCAGAATTATGATGGCAGGGATCAGTCTGCATGTTTGACAAAACGAGGAAGGTTCTCTTTACAGGGGACCATCTGATGATGGACGAATTTGGATTGAGTATATTAGAAAACTATAACTGGTATTCAGGTGATTCCACTTTATCAGCCATGCCCATTGCTTGAACGTAGAAACCATTGGCAATCTTTTCTCAAATTTTTTGGATGATACATACTTAATTTATCAGAAACAATATTAGTTCCCTTCCTTAGGTATTACTGTCACAGTCTTTTATCTAGATTATTTCTTATTTAATGCCTACTTCCTCCTGCTTGTCAGTTTCCGTGCAGTTGAACAGTGTTCTAAAGTTGCTTGAGTTGGATTTTGAATGGATACTGCCAGGTGAGTAGTAGCGTTTATCCATTTTATTTACTTGGCTTCTAAATGTATATTTTGGTACAATTTTTTTACAAGAATTTGGTAGCACAAACACAGTGATTTTTCTCATGCTTGGTGTGGCGTGTGACAATAGTATGGTAAAACATAATGCATTTCATTCAACTTCCTTTTTGTTTCCCTTGTGTTTTTGATGATTTTGATTTTTTCACGACCCAAGCCCACGGCGTTGGGCCCAGAAGTAAGACCCAGCAAATGGTACTTTTGCTATTACTTTGCATTTCTTGTTTTGCCAAATGGTTACCCTTGAGCCAATGGTACGGATGCCAAATAGTTGCATCTCGTCCAGACAGGGAGAAGTGGATGCCTGTCATTTTTTGAGAGTTGAGTCATACATCTTAGTTTCCTTATGGGTTTTCGAATTGAGTTTATTTCTAATATTTTTCATCCTGAGAATTTCTCCAATCTGAGTTGATTGTGGTCTTTCATGATATGTACTTTAAACTGTAATTTTGTAGCATCATGACTTCAATTAATCGGGTTCATGAAGATCTTGCAAAACTTCATGACCATGTGGTGGGTTGCTCGATTAATGAACTACTCCCATATCGAGTTATGTTTATGTTGGAAAAACTTAATTGAATGTAAGACACAGAATAATTTATCCCTGATAAATCTTTACGTGAATAAACTGTAATGATAGATGTGATGTAGTTTTCTGAATGCTGATACGATTTGCTAGACTTTGGTGAACTAAGCATTATTTCCACTGTTAAATCAATTTCAGGCCATGGAAGGCGAGCTTCTTTTAGGGATTCTACTGAAAAGAATGAGGCTTTGAGAGCTCTCTTGGCTGCCAAAGGGCTTCATGCTTAGACACATTTCACATTTTTTTCTCATCTTTCTTATGTTCTTTCAAAGTTCTCCCAATAAGAGGGTCATGCTGTGACTTGATGTGCATAAAATAAAATGTGTAATAGCTACACTACCGGTAATATGATCTCAATGCTTATACCCTCAACTTGTTACTCCTCCCTATAGGAGTTAAACAAAACAAGCTACTCGTGATTCGTTAGAGCTAGAGCTCATTTAAAGCTTGATTCATTAACAAGACATCAAACGAGTCAGGCTCCTAAATGAATTAATGAGTCAAGTTCAACTTGACTCTATAATTTTATATAATCTTTTGTAGTTTGGTTTAGCAATGTTCAAATTTGACTCATTAAAGTTCGAACTTGACTCTTGATAAACAAGCCGAGTTGGTGTTCGATTACTTGATCATTTCGTTTCCGAACAAATATCAACTTGGCTCGTTAAAGACTCGTCAAAGTTGCTAATATTACAATCAGTTTTATCAAGAGAGAGATATAATATGAACTAGACGAATCTGTCAATCCAATGAAACATGGTACTAATCTATACTATTATAAAAGGACGAGTGATTTTGTAAAAATAATGATCTGTCTAAAATACCCTTACTTTGACATATTTTTAATGGTAAATTAGTAATATAGTAATACCCATCTTATTTTATATTTTTAATTAACAAATGAACTACCTAAAAAGACCCTTACTTTGAATGGCAAATTAATACTACACCAATAATCATCTTATATTTATGGATATATTACCAGTATCCATCTATCCAATCTGTATTATGATAATAAAGCATTGTTTTTCTTTACAAAAATGTATGAAATTATTATATAATAAGACATATATAAAATTTCATAAATAATATTAAAAGTGTTATAATTGAGTAAAATAAATATAAAACTTTTAAACTTGTATTTATCAATATAAATGAGTTGAGTTGTAAACATTTGTTAATTGTTTGTGATTATTAATTCTATGTGTAAGGTTTAGGTGACAGACAGTAGTTATTTGTACTTTTATCCATTTAGGTTAGAACTTCTAATTTTTTTTTAAAAAAAAATTGATTGTTCTAATTTTAAATAACTTTTTTATTTGATATTAGTTTTTTAAATATAATATACAAATATCATATTACAATTATACAATACTAAATATTTTTATTATTAAATATTTAATATGTAAGAAATATAACTTGATTAAGAAATTAATAGGTAATCTTGAGATAAAATAATGAGTGGTTTCTAAAACAATTACATGACTAAAAAGCCATGTGTTTAATGTATTTTTAAAAGAAAAATTGTAAATATAATTAAGTAATAACAAAAGATATCACATAAAAATTTAATGTTTAAAAATGAATAAATTAAAAAAAAA